TGGACTAGGTTCCGAGTGATTACATCTTTTCCCAGAATTTAAGGATTTTTTAGCTGGGAATCACTATGAAAGTGACAACAAACTGAAAGTGGCTGTTAATGACTGGTTCAAGAACTTGGCGATAACTGAGTGTGCAGAAGGCATAGAAAAGCTGATGATATGCTATGACAAATGTTTAAATTTGTATGGTGACTATATAGAAATATAGCTAAGGTATCATATGTATTGTAAAATAAGTTTTGTTTCATTATCTTAAATAAAAATATCTAGAGAAACAANTATACGACAGGTATTCTTTACAATACTTGATTTGATAGATGATGATAAACTTTCAACATCATATTTGTTGACTGGTTGGTTTTTAGCTACTCATTCATATTGTAAGTAATTAATGAAATTTTCTATAATGATTTTTATTTTCCAAAATAATTATAGGCATTTTACGTATGAGCCCAGCATGACCTTGTAGTATTATGCTTTTTTCTTGCATATATTAACATTTTTATCTGCCAATTATTAACAAGCCTTAAATTTTTATTTTAAATTAATACTGAATTAGAGTTAATATTAATATAACATAAGTAATATTTTTATATTTTATGTATGAAATGTTTATATAGCTTCAAAATGAGTAGTATTAATAATTAATTATTATTTAATTATTTTGAGACTGAGGGGCTGTCCATTAGTTATGTTAGTTTTTGAATCACTTTCCCCTCTCTCTTATATAAAATGTATTTTTCCAAACTTTGTCTTTTTTAATTATATACACAATAATTTATAGACCCCTTCAACATTAAAGAAATGACTTTTATAAAATTGTGCAAATATTTTCTATATATTGTACACAATGTACTTTTCTCAACTCCTTAAACTGTACTGTACATATAATTAACAAATGCCCTTTATTTTGAATTTCCGTTCCATTCAAGTTTTACACTGTTTTAAAATTAAATTAGAATATACTGAAACATCAAAACATTAATTTAATCTTATTTAAATAAAACTTAATTTTTTTAGGATTGGGATGGATGTAAATAAACTTACAAACAATCTAGTTTTATATAATTAATAAAAATCTAAAGTTCTATCATGTAGAAAATTACAGTGCACTCTTGCTAATCTGAACTATGAGGGTCATTCTAACAGAAAAGAACGTTTTGATCTGACAAGGCGTTCAATTCTCTTACCACCCTCAACTGCTGTGTCATAAACCTTCCCACGTTTTCATGCCAGTCTGATGCTAACAGCAAGCCACCAACAATCACAACTGTTTACAGTGTGACTTTGAAATGTGTGACAAAATTAAAGATCCTGCCAAGTGTGAGGTTTGTAATGTAATACACTTTTTGAATGCAAAAAAAGTCCGCCCTATCGAAATTTACAGACAGATAACTGAGGTTTATGGTAATGTGATGAATGAAGCTTCAGTTCAAAACAAACTGTAGGAATTGTTGTCTAGAGGCATTGTGCTGCTTCAGGATAACGCATGTCTGCATGCTGCTGCGTTGACGAAGAACTTGCTTCAGCAGTTTAAGTGGGAAGTTTTTGAACATCCTTCTTATAACCTGGACTAGGTTCCGAGTGATTACATCTTTTCCCAGAATTTAAGGATTTTTTAGCTGGGAATCACTATGAAAGTGACAACAAACTGAAAGTGGCTGTTAATGACTGGTTCAAGAACTTGGCGATAACTGAGTGTGCAGAAGGCATAGAAAAGCTGATGATATGCTATGACAAATGTTTAAATTTGTATGGTGACTATATAGAAATATAGCTAAGGTATCATATGTATTGTAAAATAAGTTTTGTTTCATTATCTTAAATAAAAATATCTAGAGAAACAAATGTTCTTTACTTTTAGAATGACCTTCGTAATTATTGTGTAGGATTGTTCATATCAGTGAGATTAATATAAAGGTGATCAGATCAAAAGATACTACAAACAAATGTATATACTTTAAAAAAAAAAAACATTTTATTTATATTGTATTTAAATATTTTATATAAATACAAATGTAAATATTTATGTATTTATCATGTTTTTAAAAATAATTTATGATTTATTTTTGTTTTTTGTTGAAACATATAGCAGAAATAAATTGGATGCTTCTTAATTCAAGCCAATTGGCTTGGATTAAGAGGCATCCAGATTAGTATTAGAGGATTTGATCCCGGGATCTCGAAAATCGGGATCCCGGGATCCCGACCACTTTTCAGTCCCAAAATTTTCGGGATTAAGTTTTCCTAATTCCGGGATTTTCGGGATTGACATCATTTTAAAAAAATTGCAAAATAGACTGCATGAAGCGAAACGTTCAGTGCCAGTGCTTTTAACAGAATTGCTTGCCTATCATTTTAATATAAAATACAAGAAATTTTATTCCAAGCAAGCAGCAGAAATTAACCAAGCGGGCTTGCGATGCTTGCTTGGAATAAAACTTCTTGTATTTTCAACTAAAATGATAGGCAAGCAGTTCTCACTGGGTTACTTGGTAATATACTTCATTTTTGTATTTTTGAATTTTCGCGGGCGCCAATCGATTTTCTGGCGCAGTC